GAGAGAGTATGAGACAAAGAGAGAGGGGATGAGTAAATGAGAAATTGAGAGAGAAGCTAAGGTAGAGGGGGAGGGGGAGAGAGACACAGAGAGAGAGCGTAGAGAGAGAAAAAGGTAAAGTGAGTGTGTGAGAGGCAGGAAAGAGAGAGAGAGAGAGCGAGAAAGGGAGAGTGATAGAGAGAATGAGTGTGAGAGAAAAAGAGTGAAGGAGAGAGAAAAAAGAGAGGAGAAAGAGAAGCAGAAAAAGAGAGAGAGAAAGAATGTACTAGAAGAAGACGGCGGATAGAGAAAAGAGACAGAGAATGAGGTAAAGGGAGAGCATGAGTGAGAGAAAGAGGGAGAAAGAAAAAGCAGCGAGAGAGAAAAAAGTGCAGACAAAGAAAAGAAAGGAAAAGGTAAACAAAGAGAGTGAGTGAGAGAGAAGGAGAGATGAGAGAGAGTGTGTGAGACAAGGGAAGAGAGAGAGGGGAGAGTAAAGGGGAATCGCGAGAGAATGTGAGGTAGAGGGGGGGGGTGAGAGAGAGGGGGGTTAATTCTCTTCACTGCCACAGGCCGACGTGTCACCAGTTCATAAAGCCATAAATCACTCTGCTGTGCCTCAGTGCTGCTCTGCTCTCTTTCATTAGCAGCAGCGACCTTCAGCGATGGCTGCTATAATGATCACCTGTTGACAAATAACAGCTCTTCAATCGACGAGTCATTTACCAGCAGAAAGCTGGAGGAGGAAACTTAACCCTGCACTACAGCACATAAACAAAAACTACAGTTCACTGTACACATCTGAGCCACATACAGTACAGGATCAGAAGTATTTGGACACCTCTTTGAATAAGTGAATTCTTATTACTATGTTGGTTTGAAGAATCCAGTTAGAAGAACACAGAATTGGTTCCTTAATTCTTGCTACACTCCATCCATCTCATAGATTTGTTCAATTTCATCAGCAGCTCATCTGATTTAATTTAATGAAGGCATGATTTAAATATTAATTAAAAACTTGATTAAATACTGAACTTCCTCAAGGAGAGCTTTTTTATTTTCTCAGTGACCTTTTGCACAGACTTTTCTGCTGGAGCTTTTAAACACCTCAGTGTCACTGCTGGACTGCGAATTGTCCACCAACCAAAAATGTCCAGACAACAGTGTCCTGTGATCACTGATGAAGGACTAGATCATGACTGTGCAGCAACAGTTGAGCTACTGTCTCTGATTTTACATCTACAAGGTGGACTGACAAGGTAGGAGTGTCTAATAGAGTGGACAGTGAGTGGACACAATGTTTCAAAAACTCCAGCAGTACTGCTGTGTCTGATCCACTCGTACCAGCACAACACACTCCAGCACCACGTCAGTGTCACTGCAGTGCTGAGAATGATCCACCACCCAAATAATACCTGCTCTGTGGGGGTCCTGGTGGGGTCATGACCATTAGAGAACAGGGTGAAGATGCTGGAATTCTTAAACACTGTGTCCACTCACTGTCTACTCTATTAGAGTATATATATATATATATATATATATATATATATATATAGATGTGTGTGTGTGTATAGACAAATTGGGACACACCTTTTAATCATTGAATTCAGGTGTTTCATTCAGTTCCATTGCCACAGGTGTATAAAATCAAGCATCTAGCCATGCAGTCTGCCTTTACAGACATTTGTAAAAGAATGGATTGTTCTAAAGAGCTCACTGGGCGTGGTATATTAATATGATGCCACTGCAACAAGTCAGTTTGTGAAATTTCTTCCCTCCTAGATATTCCCCATCAAATGTGAGTGGTATTATTGAAAAGTGAAAGTGTTCAGGAACCACAGCAACTCAGCCATGAAGTGTCAGACCACGTAAAGTTACAGAGCGTGTCGCTGAGTGCTGAGACACATAGTGCATAAAAGTCACCAACTGGAAATGTATTCTTTGAAGTGACGATTCACGCTTCTCTATCTGGCAGTCTGATGGATGAGTCTGGGTTTGGTGAACACCAGGCGAACAATAAAGTTGGTGGAGGAGGGATAATGCTATGGGGTTGTTTTTGAGGGGTTGGCCTAGGACCCTTAGTTCAGTGAAGAGAAATTTTAATGCTTCAGCATTACAGGACATTTTGGACATTTGTATGCCTCCAGCTTTGTGGGAACAGTATGGAAAAGGCCCTTTTCTGCTCCAGCATGATTGAGCCCCAGTGCACAAAGCAAGGTTCATAAAGGCATGGCTGGGTGAGTTTGGTGAGGAGGAATGTGTAGGTATCCACATAGTATATATATAAACCCAATGACAGCTGGGATAGGCTCCAGCACCCCACCGCGACCCAGAAGGATAAGCGGTTTAGATGATGTATGTATGTATGTGTGTGTATATATATATATATATATATATATATATATATATATATATATATCTTCTTTTCTCTTCTTTCATATAGAGAGTAAGAGAGAGAGAGAGAGGTGGGCAACTAACCAAAGCCCCCCCTCCAACACCAAATGATGGCAGAGAAAAGCAGGGGGTGGGGGAATGAGCTGAGGCTCCTTCACTCTGTGGGGAGCTGGAAGGATGCTGTGCGCAGAGATGCTGCTGTCAAACTAATTTACTCTTTCTTCTCAATTAAACTACCATTTCCAATCATTTGGACTCTTCAGACTACTGTGAGAGAAGGATTCTTGAGTCAAAGGTATGTTTTTGTTGTTTTTAAAAGTAGACTCGTTTAACTTGAGAAACTGAACAAACGTGAGGTGAAACGTGAAATCAGAATGTTGAGACATAATGTGTAATTTATGAGAAAACAAAAATGAAGAAAGAATGTACTTCAATCAGTTTGAGATTCAGATGGGATAACTTTGTGTCCTTAGTTTTGTCAGGACCAGAAATGATCAAACTAGTGAGATACGTTATGAGGTGTTTGAGGTAGATGTCTTTCAGACTGAGCCAAAAACAGTAGCAGCACTTTAACATGCTGTGGTTTATTATCATGAGCTTTTAAAACAGATTTCCTACCTTCTGAAATATGCTCCAGGCAAAAAGGAGAATTGTACAGCTTTGTACTGTTTACTCCGTTTCCAGCTTTACATAACCCTGTTCATTTTTTGGTAGCTTTATAAATGACTGAACAGTGCTGTCTACTGGTGGGATTACGTTACTGCAGCATTGTTTAAAATTGAATGAAAAATTCCAGTATTCAGCATATTTTATTGTTTCTTTACTGGGAGAAAATGCTGTTTAATCAAGAAATGGCCAGTGACATTATGTCTTGGCAGGAGACTTTTTCCCCATTAACTTATTAAAGAGCGAGCTGATTTAATGCCGAGTCTAAACGTCTCTTACATTCAAGAGAGAAAATCCCAGGACAGCAGGGTTATGCTGATGAGATGCTGAAGACAAAGAGTCAGTGTAGATCAGAACTGGCCAAAGTGAGGCCCACAGGCCAGAGTTGGCCAGCAAGGACCTTTGACTGGGCATGGCAGGAGGTTGCCCTAAATCCCTCAACACCAATAAACTTTTTATATAACTTCTTAGTTCTTATTTTTAAGATTTTTTTTTTATTGAAATTCTTCTTGTAACAAGACAGAAATGGACAAAAATCACAACAAGCAGCGGCACACGGAGGACATTTAGGGACCACTGGAAAGAACAATATCTTTTCAGGGAGTTTAAAGATTAAACTGTCTGCTTCATATGTGAGGAAACCATTGCATTGCTCAAAAAACAATATTTAACAACAATATTGTCATTATGAAAGCACACATGCTCTAAATGTAAATACAACGCATAAACAGTAACAAGCCAGCTGTTTTGTCTTTTTGGCCCACCACAAAAACCCTATACTTTGGCCCCAAGGACAACATTTTAAGCACCCCTGCTGTAGATCCACATGACCATTTCAGGGTTTGTGTTCAAAGACCTTTTAGAGGAAATATATAACACGTTACACATGTACAAGCAAAAATAGATCAGAGATCAATAAACTAACAGCCCAAATGAGTCAGATTATTACTACACGCCAGTATCTTCCATTAGAGCAATAATTTCAAGATTTAAGATCAGTGATTGATCAACAGTTCATTTGCAAGGAAACAATGTTAGAAGAGTGGAAACATTGAATATACCTGTAAAAAAAATATAAAGGCTATTAGTGCCATGGCAACATACAAAAAAAGCCTCTGCTGTTAAGGAGAAATAAGACCACCTGGGATTGGATACTGTGCTCAGACCAAAAGGCACCTGCTGTAAATGGTAAGGGTGGATCATTGATCCATTTGGATTGCTTTGCTGAAAGTGGCCACCAGGGCTGTTACCAAGCGAATTTCCCTAAGGCTTTGGAGTATCGGTGCAAAATAAGGCAATTCTGGAAGGTGGTCAATTTTCTACAAAAAAAAAGCAGGGGTGCTTAATCGTGGTCCTGGAGACGTACCACCCTGGAGAGTTCAGGTCCAACACACCTGGCTCTGACATTCAGGTTCCTGTGAAGGCCCTTTATTACCTAGATCAGGTGTGTTAAATTAGGGTAGGCGTTAAACTCTACAGGGCAGTAGATCTCCAGGACCGGGATTGGGCACCCCTGACTTAAAGGGTACTTCCACCCATTTATCAAGACTGGCCAAACTTCCATGTGTCTTCTGAGTTCTTATATCTAATGTTAATGACGGTCAAGCAGTAGTAAATCTCTCTCTTTAAAAAAACTTCACATTACTTAGTTATATTAGAATCCCTTTATAGCTGCAAGTATCTTTAAAAAACAGGGATTGCAAACCTTTGAACGTTGTTCTGCATCCTGCTAGTATCTTATTTTGCACGGACCCTGGAAAAACGTGCAGAGGGCAGTAAAAATCAGCATTCCGCTAGTGTGATGGGAATGTTCAGTATCCTTGTTACCCCGGACGGATCGGCACGGTCAGCAAGTATGTGAAGGACGTGCTTTAAAACTGTTGCGCATGCTCATCTGAGTGGTGAAGAATTCATTAAGGACATTGACTCCTCCTCTGCGGCCCACTGAGAGGTCTGTTAGAGCAAAGTGCATCCTGGATCACAGCCAGACGCTCAGGAGCCGTGGAGGAATTACTTATGCAGGGACAAATCAGAAATGCATGCCACAGAGAGAGCTTGTTGCAGCTCCTTTATGTAAGTCCTCAGTCTTTTCACTCAGAGCTTCTCATGTGCGATCATAAGGATGAGCTCCTAAGGCAGAGAACTGTGTACTATGACTCAACTTTGGTTAACTTTTGGTGAATGTTTGACCATGCTAGTCATCTCAAATATGCTGTTAAAAACATTCTCAACTCTCTGCTTCTGACTGGTTTAATGTTATTTGTTTATTTGTGTGCATGAGCTGAAATTGGCTGAGTTTTGCAGTAATCAGGCCTATAGAGTGGAACACTCTTGGGAAAGTTGTTGTTTTGGAAAGAAGATGCTTTGCATGCCACTGCAGTGATATACAGCTGTGTCCTGTTGCTTTAATCATGTCATTAAACAAACCAGAGGCTTCTCGAGTGTATTACATTTACAATGCTGGTGGGAAGGAAGTCTATAGAGCACAAAGCTCATCCATCTTCTCTCCTGGAGCACAAGCTCTGGCGGGGTTTCCACAGCTTTTTCAGCAGTGATTTGATTAAGTGGTCACTTTGAACACCCTGGGTCGCTTCTCCAAACAGGCATTAAGCCTAGTCCTGTATTATACAACATTCTGAATGAGGAAACTGACCCTCTGTCTGACATACTGTGGACTAGACTAGATCAAAATATTGATGCCAGGTGGGTTATATATAAAAGTTCATTCCCACCAGGTACAGAAGAAAAAACCTTCTCTGTTTCTGGCTTTTCTCAAAATATTGACTGGGTGTCTCAAAATAACTAAATATTTTCTTGAAATACTGACTTAGTGTCTCAAATAATGACATTTTCTCAATTTTTACTTACTATGTCACACTATGTTACACTTTACTTAGTCTCTCAAAATAATCACTTCTTTTTCTAATTTTACTTAGTATCTCAAAAAAGTGACATTTTCTCAATTTTTTACCTAGTGTCTGATTTAGTATCTCAAAATAATGACTTAGTATCTCAAAATAATGACGTTTTCTCAAAATTTTGTCTTAGTATTTTAAAGTAATGAGCTTCTCTCAACATTTGTTTGTCTCTCATGTTTGTTATTTAGTATCTGACTTAGTATCTTAAAATAATAACTCATTATCTCAAAATAATAACAATCAAAATAATGACTTTGTATCCCAAAATTGTCAATCTCTCAAGAACTTTTAGTATTTCAAAATAATTACCTTTTTTTTCTAGTTTTACTTAGTATCTTAAAATAATTACTGATTCTTGCAAGATTTTTATTTAGAATCTCAAAATAATGACAGTATCTCAAAATAAAAAGAGTAAGTCATTGTTTTGAGATACTAAATCAGATACTAGGAAATATTTGAGAAAATATGTCACTTTTGTGAGATACTAAGTAAAATTAGAAAAATAAGTGATTATTTTGAGAGACTAAGTAAAGAGTTGAAAGAATCTTAAAATGATTTTTTTTTCTAATTTTACTTTATCTCAAAATAATTTCTTATTTCAATCAAATTTTATTTAGTAACTTGAAATAATGATGTTTTCTCAACATTTTGATGCCAAACAGAGAAAGAGAAAAAACATGGGTGATTTATTTCTCCTCTTCCTGGTGGAGTTTTTGTTGGCATTTGTTGCAGAGCACTGCAAAATGCAGATGAGCCCTCCTAACTCCAATCACAATTATCATCACTATGACCATCCTGACCAATCACAGTTCCAGATGAAATATTCATGTAATTCAACAAAAGTTAATTATTTTGATTTTTAACCATGTTACATTAATGATTTGCATATATATATATATATATATATATATATATATATATATATATATATATATTTGTATGTATATAGTACATACTATAGTGTAATGACAAAATACCATTTCTGAATGTAAATACCACCATTATTGTAAATATTACAATATCAAATGTAAACACTACAGCAAGATAGCAAATATAGCCTGTGATACATTGTGAATCATCTTTAGAGTCAAACTGTTTCCCCAGTTCATCATAGTGTTAGGATCGTCTTAAAAATGAGAGACGCCCTGTTCACTGTGATATTAAATGCTGTTTTATGGTATTCTTTGTGTGGTGATGCTTTCAGGAAGGCCACCCTCCTTAACAAGCAGCTCTAGAGACCCTGCGAGGCTGAATGAGCGAGAATCAAACCAAGAATGTAAGGATGTACCTCACTTTACATAACTGTAATTTTCTTATTTCTGATTACAGGATATTTTTGGAAGAACAATCCATCACTGAAGACCTGAAGGAGCATGATGTCTAATTGCCAACCCAGTAGAAAGATGAAGCTTCATTTAAAGAGCTCATGTTCTCCATTTTTCTTAAATTTGATGTTTTCCTTGTGAAATATGCTTATAAGGTAAGTGAGGTTCTGCACATTAAATAAGAGTTGTCATATATTTTTACATGACCTTGTTCCAAGACTCTGTTAGAATTAAACAGGCTGTTTTTGTTCCTGTGCCTTTAAGACTGGTATATGTAAATGAGCTCTGTTCTGATTGGTTGCTCTGCATTATGCCTTATTCAAAAAGCAGGTCGGGCTGAAACACTCCTTATAACTTCATTGTAAATGAACAGGGCTGAACTGCTGTATGCTGAAGAGGTGGATATTTGTGAATGTGTGACATTACAAAAACATTGAATTCAGCTATGCTTTTGCAGATATGGACTGTATTGACTGGGGAATGAATGATGTGTTTGGAACAGTGTTTATATAGTACAACAAACTGGAAAAAAAACAAAGAAGTTCAGTTTTCCATGATATGGACCCCTTAAGAGTTTAGTGGTTAGCTATAGATGTGTGTAAACCTTTTCTCTAAGTCATGACTGAGTGTTCTCATGTTTCACTATATATGCCTATTTATTTCAAGGTTGAGATCATGTCCTAACTCCTTTGGAAGAGGATCTCTTCAGACATGGATGCTGTGCACTGTAATCTAACTACAGTTTAATATGAGAGGACACCAAAAAAATTAACTTCTAACATTCCAGTTCATGCTGGAACCGAAATGGTGCCAGTTGAGGATAACTTCACCTCTGTGCCACTTTTGGACAGCTGTGCGAACTGCAGCCTTCCATCATCCTCCCATATAGACCTTCCAAAGGTGGTGGCCATGGGGCTGGTGTTCATGCTCTTCGTTGTTTTTGGCGTGATGGGGAACATCCTGGTCATCCTGTCTGTGGCCTGCCATCGGCACCTCCGTTCGGTCACCCATTACTTCATTGCTAACCTGGCCGTGGCTGACCTCCTCCTGAGCTCTGTGGTGCTGCCATTTTCGGCCTCCTCTGAGCTCCTGGGCCACTGGGTGTTTGGCCGGCCGCTGTGCAATGCCTGGACGGCGCTGGATGTCCTCTGCTGCACGGCGTCCATCCTCAGCCTCTCAGTTATCTCCGTGGACCGCTGCCTGGCTGTCAGCTACCCGCTGCGCTACCCCTCTCTGGCCACAAGCGGGCGCGGTTTGGGTGCGGTCGCAGCTGTTTGGAGCCTTTCGGCTGCCATCTCAGTCGGGCCCCTTTTCGGATGGAGAGAGCCGATGCCAGAGGATGAGTCAGTTTGTAGGGTTAATGAAGACCCAGGCTACGCCATCTTCTCGGCCGCATGCTCCTTCTACCTCCCGCTGACCGTGATCCTAGTCATGTACTGCAGGGTGTATGTGGTAGCCCGGAGGAAGAGCCGGAGTCTCCGTGAAGGGTGGCAGCAGGATGGGGGGTCACTCAGGATCCACTGTGGAAACACCCAGCGCTGTCAGGCTCAGGCTCACGGCCAGAGGTGAGTATCAGTCTGAAGGTGGTGAATGAACTGCATTGATTTTTGGAAATAAATTAATAAGTAAATAGGTCCAAAAGTAATTCAGTAAAATAGCTATTGTCAGATTTGGGAGGCATAGCTAGTGAATGAGAAGTGGCAGTGATCAATAAGGTAAAAAAAAAGGTTAAAAAAAGGAAATGTATTGTAAAAACATTGTTTTTATTCTGTATATCTCACTACAGTGTAAATTATAGAAGTCATTTTCTATTTTTCTGGCAGCAATATGTCAAAAAATGTCCCATAATATTGACTTATTTTCTCAAAAGAATTACTTAGTATATCAAAATAATGACTGATTATCTGCAAATATTGTTTGATATTTTAAAATAATTATGTATGTTCTTGAAATGATTGACATAAAGAAATATCTCTTATTTGATGGCACTTTCTCAGGATTTTGAAATACTGTTGAAAAGAATGAGTTATTCAATCTCATAAAAAGTAAGTATTTATTTAATAAGTAATTATATGGGATAAAAAGTCAGAGTAAGTCATGACCTTGACATCAGAAGTCTTGAGAAGAAAAGTAATTTTTTGAGATACTAACTCATCTTGACAAACTGCTGGTAGAAACAGAGGGGCGAAAAGATATATCAATTATGTTTTTTTTCTCTTCTACCAGTCAGGAATCAGTCTCCAGTTAAATAATTTTTCAGTCACATATAATCTAATTGAATCAAACCACGATGAAATTTCAGATTTCATGATGCATTTTCAGAACTGTGATTGAATCTAATTATTGTGAAGTCAAAAAATTACCCTTGAGTTGCTGGAACTCTATACTTGTGTAAAAATGTTGATACTTGAATGAAATAAAGGCTTAAAGTTGCAAAAACAACCTCAGTTGAAAAGTAAGGTCCCACTCCTGGAGAAGTCAATATTTTATAGAACTACAGTGGAACTTCTTAAGTGTGCCACAGACTTTTTCCAATTATCTGCATAACAAGATGTAAACAGAAACACCCAGAGTGGTTTGGTGTGAAATGCTCTATTCTAGAGAAACTTACTGAGTCAGAATTGTTCACAGTGGTGGTGATAGAAACCAGACATCCTCTGTGACATCACTTAGAATGACTTAGTTTCTCAATGTTTAAACTGTTCAGAAGTTGAATGTTAAATGTATTAAAAATGTCCAAAATATAAAAAGCTGACTCCCCTTTATTAACATATAGAAATACTCAGAAAAGTATAAATCCGTCAAAATTGTCCTTAAAAGTGTGTGTAACTGAGTAAATGGAATTGACCTCTGCTCACAGCAGGAATGGAGATGGAGCGGCTGTGGGGAAATGTCGCTCCCACTGCAGCCTTGTGAGGCTGCTCACGTTCTCCCGGGAGAAGAAAGCTGCAAAGACCCTGGGCGTGGTGGTGGGCTGCTTCGTGCTCTGCTGGCTTCCTTTCTTCCTTGTGCTGCCCATCAGTGAGTATACGGTGGATACTAGTCCATTTATTCTGATTAAAAGTTTACACTTACAGTAAAAGTTCACACTTACACCAGCACCACACACACTACCATGTCAGTGTCACTGCTGTGCTGATAATGGACCACTACCCAATTAATATCAGGTCAGGAATAAATCAAAATCATAAAATGTGGCCTGTGCAAAAGATAAGGCACATTTTATACCATTTTTGTGTGTTCTTTTTTTAGCAAACAGGTAAAAAATAATCTTAGCGGAAAAAAGGAAATAGAACGTGTGCATTAAGATTAAGAGAAAATCACCGTACATAAGAATGTGTTCACTTATTTTGACTTGTGTTATTTGAAAAATGTGTTATTTGACTGGGGGTGTTCAAATTGTTGCATAAATGTTTGCATTAAATTTTGGTTTACAATCTAAAACCAACAGTGAAACTACTCAAGGTTTTATATGTATTCTTGATAATGCTAAACTAGTATAAAAATCTTTCTAAAAAGGAGTTTATGGATACATTTAAGGCCAAAAGCTTTTCATCAAACTATTATAAAACAATGTCAGGCAGTGCATTCATAACCATTTCATGTAATAACATCTGTGAGGGAGCTTTTACAGGCAATAACTCTTCAGACATCTGGTTCCTTTCACCACCACTGTGAACAATCCTGTTTCTCTAGAATGGAGCATTTCACATCAAACCACTCTGAATTGCTCTGTTTACATCTGAAGCATTTCATTATGGGAAAATTTTGAAAAATCAGTGAAAGTCCTCTTTCAGTTTAGCATCGAAGGTATTAGATCTTTAGCTAAATGCACGTAAATGACATGTTAAAATTATTATTAGCCATTATTAATATTACTGGATGAGGACTAAATGGTAATGATTGAGCCCCTCCAACAAAAAAAAACATATTTTAACCATTTTCACTCTTTTTTTGGATCATCACTTATTTTGCTTTTAGTTTCATTTTGTACAGCCTTTTACAACAAACAGTCAAATCATGCTTTATTTACATTTTAGTGACCCCTTTATTTTAAATACAGTGCTTTAAACAATGATTATGTAAGTTTTGAAAAAAAGGGGCTCAATTGTTGAGATTATCCAAAAACATTTTGAGGGAAATTTTGGGTTTATTTTATTATATTTGTCAACATAGTGTCTTTGTTGTGTAGTGAAATACTGTTATATATATATCACTGCTGTGGGAACAAAATGTTGTATGTCCATTTTTGTCATTTTTCAGTTTTTGACATAATATAAAAATGCCTGTTGCCCTTTACATTGTGTGTAAGTTTCACAATGAAAGGACCAAAAGAAACGGCCTAAAATTACTTTTGTTTCCTTTGACTTACATTAAAAGTAAATTAGGTTTTTTCCTTCTCCTGCAAAGCATTTTGGAGGCACAAGGTTTTGTTCCGACAGCAGCGATATATTTTTAATAGCATAAGTATAGCCTCTTTCTTCAGGCCCTCTAGTGTCCATTCATCTGGTGGAATGGAAATCGATTCTGATATAATTAATAATATCATGAAATAACAATATTTTTCCTTGTAACTCTATCAAATTAACTAAGAGACTCTGTGTTGAGCTGCAGGTGAGCAATGAGGGGTGAGAGGGAAGGGGTGAGACCCCCTGCTGTGAAAACAATTCACACCTCTCCACAAGGACGGCTGTGTCGTGATAAAACAGACAATTGCAGCTTTCTTCATGTCAAAAAACAGTGAAAAATGACCACAATAAAAAAAAACAGCATTAAAAAACATTAAAACGTTTTTATAAATGTTGACTTGTTTCCTACATATGAATGAAAATCTGGTTCTGTAAACTGGATGAAATTTTTTTGTAAATTATAGACATTTCCGTTGTATAAATTCCAAAAACATTATTGAAGATAAAATGCATAGTTTAACTGAGCCTCAAAAACAGGCAGAACTGCATTGCATGGCTACTGTGAATAGGGTTAAGATTATATTACCAGTTCTTTTACATAATGAGCAAGTAACGAGTGTATTTGATCAAATTTCAGTGTTGGAAAGGCTGTTTATGACTGAAAGGTAAACCTGTATTTCTGTGTTATTATGTATTATGAAGGGTTTCCAAATGACCTCATTATTCCATCCCGTCTTATTTCAGCCTTTCGTGTAAATTGGCTCACAAACAGCTGTACTAAGGCTGCGTCTGATCTCATTTGAATGGGGCTCTTGACACAAAAGAGCAAATGAATGATGGGAAAAGGTGTAAACACAGTCCTCTATTTGTCTGAATGGGGCTTTTGTCTCATGTTACACTGCACCAGCAAATGTTTATTTATGAACCAAATAGCCTTGCTTCAGCAAACAGTTTCAGGCAGATCTACAAGCACATTTCCTGCCAAACTGGTATTTTGTGCTTACATCTGAATCTTTTATAGAAACTTGTTTGTTTGCAGGTTCAATGTTTGGGAGGAAAAAGTTGAGAAGAGAGAAACTGTTTTTTTACATGTAAAACTCTATTAAAGTTCTCTACAAGTGCTTTTACTTTGAAGTCAAACAGATCTTAGAAGTGTTTTAAAGCAAAAGAAGTTGCAACATTTTGGCCTATTAAACTTTTCATGATGAGATGCTGGAGGCTCTACTGGACCAAACCGAAACCACACTGTCCCTTAGTTAGTAGCAGTGGGTCCAGACACCCTGGTCACCCATATATTCTGGCCATGCTCACTGTTTTTTCAGTCTTTTAGGCTGTTCTATTAGCCTGAAGTATTTTGTCATTTCCAGCTTGATCATAAACCTCAGAAAAACTAATCTGATATCGAAATGTTTTTACGTATTATGATTTATTTTGCCATATTGCCCACCTTTACTGTCAGATTTCCTAAAATCAGCAAAAAAGAATGTTTATTCTGTTTTTTGGTGGTTCATGAATAATCAGGCCTACAGTGCCCTCTTGTGTAACAAGAGTTTTTCAGTGGCATTGACTGAATACATGTGCTTTGAGAGGTTTTGCCTATACAAATACATGTCATATAGGCTACTAAATGATGCAGAGTACAAAGAAACTATATAGGTATTCATGTATTGCTTTTTGTTTAATGTATATTCATTGGATTTATTCTGAATTTGATAAGAAGGCTGTAGGCGGGGTTTTTAAAAACTTTAGTACAAAAGAATATAATGATAAATGTTGCTCAGTGTCATATAATCACAATGGCCTCTGTAAATGTAAGGAATACTCCTGTATTTTTCAACCTAATCTCTATCTGCTTCATCTGTATCAGGGGTCTGTAACCCAAATGTTAAAGAGAGTCATTTTGACCTTTCAGCAAAAATCAGACCACCTTGGGAGCCACAACATGTTATGTCCATTTTACCATCTTGGCTGTAAATATGTCTCAGTATGTGCTGATGTACTAGAACAGGCTAACAAATTTAGTATGAATGAAAATGCGGAATTACTTTGCTCTACTTTAAGATTTAGCTCAGCTATAGCAGCTTTTCCCACACTTTTTTTTTCTTGCAAGAAAGCAGCTTCTCATTTGCCAGCTTCTTGCTCAAATTTTTCTGTTCCACCTTAAATAGTGCAGCTGGCTAGCAGGATACTGCTCAGGTTTTCCCTTAAGTGTAGAAGACATTGAGATGTCGTATGGAAGCTATGTTTTCAAAAATAAAGATTCCTAAATGGTTCTCTTGGCCTGGTTGTAGAAAAATCTGCAGCTTCTTTCTGCAGGCCCCCAATAGTTATTCTTGAAATCAGACATTGTTCATTAATATATTTGTTCCCTGTAACTCTGTTATCAGAATAACTGGGACACTATTGTCTCTCTGTGTCTGAAATGTTGAGACTCTAGTGAGCAATGAGGGATGAAAAGGAAGAGGTAAAAAGGCCCAGTGATGAAAAGAACATATGCAGCTTTCTTCATCTCATACAATCCTGTGGAACTGACACACTAAAAAAAGCACTAAAATACAGTAAAACACTTTTATAAACGTTGACTTGTTTGCTCACCTACAAAGACGAAAACACATCTACAAAATTCTAATTACATATTTAAAAAACATGGTTCTTTACAAAATGTATAGCACTGGGAACACTTTTTAGCTCCTTTATTTTGAAGATTCACCTTTCAACCCTGAAGGTTGGCACACAGACTGCTGGTCACCATAGCATTGCAGACGATGGTCTCACCTAGCTAATAGCTAACGAAAAGGCAAAGAGAAAGATTTTATATGAATATCCAGAATTTAGAGGTGAAAGGACTTATTTGCATTTATAAACACTCCTGCTGGTTTTCTGATGCGTTATCTGCAACGAGAAACTGAAAAACATTAAATGTTGCGAAGGTGAAGTCCTGTTTCCTGTTTCATTTTCCTGTTCCACCTTAAATAGTGCAGCAGTTACATTCTGGTGCCTCAGGCACCATTTACGGTGGAACGGGAAAATTCAAACAAGAAGCTGGTGAATGAGAAGAGACTTCAGTCTCGTAAAAAAATGTAACTTTGAGAGACATTTTACAAGAAACTATTCTATTTTTGTGGAAAAGTTTCCTGACAGAGATGCGAGAAAAGTGGCTTTAGCTGAGCTAAAGCTTAAAGCAGAGCAAAGCAAGTCTGCGTTGTCATTTATATATTTTTAGTCTACACTAGTACTTCAGCACATACTGAAACATATTTACAGCCATGATGGTAAAATGGGCATAAAGTTTTGTGGTTCCCAATGTGGTTTGATTTTTACTGAAAGGACAAAATGGCTCTTCCTAACAGTTGGGTTGCAACCCCTTATCTAGGCCAATGCACAGCTTGATCATTTCATAATTATTACACTTTCTGCTTTGCAATCCGTTTTAATTTTTTTTTTTCTAAAAGGTTCCATCTTTCCGTCTCACCGGCCCTCGGAGACCGTGTTTAAAATCACCTTCTGGCTGGGTTATTTCAACAGCTGCCTCAACCCAATCATCTACCCCTGCTTCAGCCAGGAGTTTAAGAAGGCCTTCCAGAATGTCCTGAGGCGTCACTGCTTTCACAGAGTGGCTAGACCCTGGAGCCCCCCAGCTGTGGGTTCTCTTACCCCACCGTCAACCCAAACTGCCCCATCCTCCAACTCTGCTACTCCTTCGGCAGGTTTGAGGGCTGGGAGTGGCTCCCCTGTTGCATTGGTGATGACTCAGCAGCCTTGCATAGCAGGATCACACGGTAAAAGCCTTCTGAAGGCCTGCTGCTTCAATGCTAAGGTAAAATCTACTAGCACAGCATGTCTACAGCTGTCTGACAGCACCGGTCCTGCCCCACCAAGACTCACCTGGTCATGGGCATGAAAGGAGGGCAAGCTGTGTAAGAGTTTACCATCATTATTGATTTTGCTGGACTCCACTGAGAACTTTCTTAAAGGACTAGCTGGACCAAACATGTTAATGTGGCTAATAACTGAAGGTTAGTAGCCATGAATCAACGTGATGTCATTCGCATAATGCTAACTGATGGCTATTGGCTTTCATTCACTGTTAGCATCGTTAGTATTTTTGACTAAAGTGTTGTAAACAAGTCTCTGTTGATTCCTGATACATATTTTATGTGCAAATGGATCACGTTATGGACTACAAGTATGAAGAACTCAGCACTGTTCTGTTCATACAAAGCATAAAAAAGCAGAGAGCTGAAGGTACAAGAGAACCTGAATGCCTATGATGCCACCTGCTGGACGCTTCTCACCTCTCTCCTTTATTGTGACTTCCCATCACAAGTTTGGGGACACCTTACCTTCTTTTGAAAAGAATTGAACATAAAGCGTGCCACAGAGTTCTTTGGCTGATGCCATAGAAGAACCACTTTTGTCTCCCTAAAGAACTATGCTTGAAAAAGAGATTTGTGAATATGAAGTTCCTTATAAAGGTTTAAAGAACTTTTGGAGGGTCTTTATACTTTTTATACTCTTTAAAGGGTTAAAGAACCTTGGCACAATGTAAAGGTTTTGTTAACCAGTTTATATCATGTGGAGGTTCTTTATACTTTTTAAGGATATAAAGAACCTCCACAAAGTAAAGATTCTATACCAATTTAAGGGTTCTTGCTAGAACCCTCTCATCATGTGGAGGTTCTTTATACCTTTTAAAGTTATAAAGAACCTTCACAAAATGTAAAGGTTCTATACTAATTTAAGGGTTCTTGCTAGAACCTTTACATTATGTGGAGGTTCAGTATACATTTTAAAGGTTTAAAGAACTTTGTATGTAAACGTTCTATACTGATTTAAGGGGGTTCTTCCTGGAAACCTTTCATTATATGAAGGTTCTTTATACTTTTCAGAGGTTTAAAGAATGTTCACATAATGTAAAGGTTCTATACCAATTTACAGGTTCTTCCTAGAGGTTCTTTGTAAATTGTAAAGGTATACAGAACCTTCACAAAATATAAAAGGTCTATACTACTATAAGGATTCTTTAAACTTTAAAAAGTTTTTTTTTTAAACTCACATATCTCATTTACAAAAACATTCTCTAAAGAACCGTAATTTGAGAGGTTCTCTAGGGAGGCAGAAGTAATTTTTCTAAAGAACTTTTTGGTACTTTTATTTTAGGAGTGTAATGTTGTGAATTTTCAGTTTATTAAGAAAAATACCTTTAGCAGTGGTTTAGTAAACACAGTTCAGATGTTTGCTGATTATATATTTATCACTGAGTGTTATATTTTAACATCAGAGTGTCTTCCTCAGTATGAAACCAGTGCTTATCTAAATAATGATTTGACAGTTTTCTTTTCCAAACTATTGTTAAAAGCACAGACCGAAACTCTTTTGACCCAAAACGCCTGAAAGGTTTGAGTGCTGATAACCGCTGACATCACAACAAAGGGAAACAATGTAAAGTTTCATCCTCCACAGTGAACCCCTTCACATCAAACCACTTAGAATGACTGTGTTTACATCTCAACCACTGAATTATTTGGTATTTGGTGGAATATAAGAAACTGAAAAATATCCAAATGCCCTTTCAGAGAAAGACGTATGTCATCTCTGGTGAGAGGAGTGTTTGGTCTGTGCTATTCAAAGCTCAGAACTGTTTCTGATGATATGGACACATGCTTTTCTCATCAACAGCAGTTTCAGGAAGTTTTGCTTGCATGCGTAACTACAGATGTCGTCTAAGTGTGCCAAGTGCTTCGTTCATAAAACATATTTAGCTGCTGCTGCGTATAAAAACGCCTTATAATGAATTTCACTGTACTGATGGACATAAATTTATAAAAGAACTTGCTGACTGTGAACTTGGCTATGAAACTCATTTTTCACTGTAAACTTACACCACTCATCAGTCTAGTTTAACTCATGGATGATTGTTTGCTGTTTCATGATTGTGTGAAGAGGAAGTATGTGTAATTTTGTACATTCATATATTCTGTAGTAGGGCAGTATAACAGTAATGAGGTATGCTGCAGTATTTATACCAGTTGAAGGCTTTCTACTAGAACCTTTACATCATGCAGAGGTTCTTTATACCTTTTAAGGTGAGGGAGCAGACATGAGTAGGATTCTAATGGCAGAGCAGTCTCAGACTGAAACACCTCCCAGCCCCAGTCAGCATTTCTCTTACATCACATACTACAGGCAGACTCTCAGAGTTTCAGTTTCCAAAGAAACCTGCAGGATATTTTTCCACACCTTCACAGTTCAGTTTTAGGCCCAGTTCTATTTCACTCCTTGCCCCTACCACTTAGCCCTGTCCTTGATTTTGTCATTCATGCCTAGGGGTAGGGTGTCCCGATTTTTGTTGAGATAGAGGGGTGGGGCAAAGTGTTAGGGCTACATGACCCTCCAAATGAAGGTTTTTCAGAGGCACAATCCAAACAGAGTGTTATGGGAAAAAAGAAAAACCAGCAAGATGGCTGCACAAGTGACCAAAGAAACCTATACATGTGAGTATTTTCTCAGTTGAAAATGATGATAACCACTGTATTAGTTTAATGTTGTTTCAATGTATTATGACACTTTTCTTCATAACAAGCATAAAAAAATTGCTAGTAGTATGCTGGTGTCTCAGTAGCTAGCTAGCTAAACTTCAACTTCAAACAAGAAGCTGGTGAATATCTGACTTCAGCTTCATATCACTGAAGAATTAAGGGTGGGCGGTAATAAATAATTGTACCTCTTTGAAGACATATGATTACCTAAATGTAACTAAAGCCCAGCAGTGAGGTTACTGAATTTTATCCTCCTCTGCTATCACTGGCAGGGTAGCCTAAAGAGCATCGCTAGTAGCCTGTCAAAAAAGTAATGTTCTTTTTTATATGAGTGTTGTCCCATTTCATAAGGGAAGATTTCAACCAATTCCCCTTGTAACTCAGTTCCAAGAGGTAAGGTAACAGTCAAAAACAAGGGGTAGGGATAAAAATAAGAAATGGGATTGGGCCCTAGAAGTTAGTTGAATTTTCTGCTTCTCACAATCTAAGTAATCCCAAACACATTCAGCAGTGTCGAGGTCTGGACTCTGGGGTGGTCAGTTCATTGTCAATGTAAAATGTAAATGTAAAAAAAAGCAAAAAAAAAGAATAGCTAGAAAACAATTAGTACAGCTTGTATTCAGCGTAATTTTAAACCGAAAAACAAATCAAATGAGTAAAAAAAAAAAGGTAAAATTGTTCATCTGAGTTTCGCACTATTGGTTGCTGATTGCATGCTCACTGGAGCTGGCAATGTTCCAGAGATGCGGCCGATACCTGCGGAAATGCACCATGGCATAATTTATCACAATAAGGATTACATATCATGATATCATCCACCCCTACCACAGACACCCAAGAACACACAACCCAGACAGGAAGAGAACAGCATGTTGCCCAAAAGGTGAAAATCAAATGCTGGTGAATCCAAAATGTTACGCATTATGACATATTAAGAGTTTCCATTTAAAAGAGAAGGAACCAAACATGTGTCTTTATCTGAAGTGCTTTAAACTCAGCGGCCAAATGAGTCAGTGTTGTTTTAATAGAACCGTGTCCAGAAGGGTTGCTATGGGCAACTTCCGCCTTGTCAAATGTGTTGCCATGACAAATACAGAGCCGGACCCTGATGACCAGAGGGTCCAGTAGTCATGGTAACGCAGCATAACACTGAGTGCAGGAAGGATGAAGAAAAAAAAGAGTAAGGGAGGAAAAAACTGAAACGTGAAGGCCGATAACTTAGAAAGAAATACCTTTTAATCTCAGGAGGAATTCTGCTTAACTTCTGTTAAATTGCGATCTGAAACCTATCCCACCCCCCCCCTCCACAACCTCATTACAGAAGAAGAAAAAAACATTAATCAAGAGTGAAATGAATCATGTTTAACCTTGTGTCACCCTCTGTTTGAGAGATACACATTCCAGCACACAAAGAGAAACTCATGCTGAAAAAATGCAAATGTTCTGGCTCTGCATTTTCACCCTGTGCACTCCCAGTAATAAAGAGTTCTTTGAAGGGTTAACATAGAAAAAACACTATTAGATCACTGAAGAACCCTCCAACATCTATGCAATTGGCTGACACTCTTGTCCAGAGCACCTTACAATCGTAATCATGTTATGGTTGTGGGTGAATGCAGTGTTAGAAGTTTAGTCCAAGGACGCTTATTGGTTTAGTTTTATGTTCTTGCTCAAGAAAGGAATCGAACCTAGTCTGCTGCGGCATAAAGGGCCACACTATTACTACATTACACCAACCTTCATTCAAAGGAATACTAGACTCTTTCAAAATGGGTTCTTTAAAGGTTCTTTGGTAAAGACAACACTTATACACTATATAGACAAAAGAGTGACATAAAGCACGCCACCACTGTACTCTGGAGCAGTGAAAATGTATTCTGTGGAGTGACGAATCATGCTACTCTATCTGGCAGTCTGATGGACGAGTCTGGGTTTGGCGAATGATAGGGGAAAGTTACCTGCCTGACTGCATTGTGCCAGCTGTAAAGTTTGGTGGAGGAGGGATAATGCTATAGGGTTGTTTTTTAGGGGTTGGCCTAGGCCCCTTAGTTCCAGTGAAGGGAAATCTTAATGCTTCAACAGACCAAGACATTTTGGAGAATTGTATACTTCCAAATTTGTGGGAACAGTTTGGGGAAGATCTTTTTCTGTTCCAGCATGTCTGAGCCCCAGTGCATGAAGCAAGGTCCATAAAGGCATGGCTGGGTGAGTTCACTTGGAGAGAACTTGACTGGCCTGCACAGAGCCCTGACCTCAACCCCATCAAACACCATTTGGATGAACTAGAACAGAGATTATGAGCCAGGCCCTCTCACCCAACATCAGTGTCTGACCTCACAAATGCTCTTCTGGATGAATGGCC